GCTACAGGCCTGATGTGGGATATGTGAGTATCGTACACTCCCAGGAGAGACGCTCCTGGCTCCCCTCCCACTTTCCGTCATTTGGGCTGATCTAGATCACGTTTTTCAAGCCCATGGACAGTTAGGAATTGCGTCATGGAAGGGTGGAGGTAATGTGAGGGTGTACAGTAATGAGTGAAAGCACCCAGAGCTGGTGTTCACTTCCGCCCCTTAGGTCCAGGGGATGTCGTTCATCGCGGCAGTACTGATACTGAACCTGGAAGAGGCCGACGCCTTCATCGCCTTTGCCAACCTCCTGAACAAGCCGTGTCAGATGGCCTTCTTCAGGGTGGACCACGACCTGGTTAGTCACCTATGCTATGTTGATGTTGGCCCTACAATCAGGTGATTCCTGTCCCTAGTTGTGGGATTTGAACCTGCAACCTTCTGGACATGGATCCAAAATGCACTGAGCTGCACACGCTGATAACTGCCTTTCAGGTCACTCATCTGAAAATAAAAACATCCGGCTGTGGTGTGGCGATGCCAAGAATGATCAGGCAGCCGAGAGCTGTGACAGTGGCCTGTACTACGAAGCGGGGTTACTGGCTTATCATGGTAACTTGTCGGATTTAAGGTAGTCTGGGCAAAATGTAAGTGAACGAATATGAAGTCCATTTAAACCGTGGTACCTTAAATCCGACAAGTTCCCCCGGCAAGCCAGTATCTTCACTTCGTAGTACAGGCCACTGGATGTGTGGGTGCCCTTGGATTTATAACTGTGCTCTTTTCTTTGTCCAGATGCTGAAATACTTTGCCGCGTTCGAAGTCTTCTTCGAGGAAAACCTCCCTAGACTGTTCAGCCACTTTAACAGTTACAAGCTCACCCCTGATCTTTATCTCATCGACTGGTGAGCACACGCTCCACGCCAAAGGCATCTTCATCCTCATGTTTCAAACCACTACCTCCGTACTGAGATTCATCCGGGCTCTGAAACCTCAGTTTCTTAGCTTCGCTCTTGCACACTGAAGCATGTTGATGAGGGATCATACCCTTCATAACCAGTATTAGCTTCTGGAACAGAACAAATAATAGAATATTCTATATCTATGTCTGTATTCTGCCCTGTATACCTAGCATTAGTAAAATGTTCTATTCTGTTTGTTTTGTTTTGTTCTGTTCTAATCTGTGCCATGCCATGCTATGCCATACATAGCAGGCATTAGCGTCTTTGAGCCTGGATGTCAATGAAGCCCAACATGCTTCCCTTCCCTCTTTCTTTCCCTTCATCCCTCTCTTTCCACTCACGGCACCCCACCACCGTCACTCCAATTCATCTGCGGCCTCAGGATCTTCACCCTATACAGCAAGTCCCTCCCACTAGACCTGGCGTGCCGTGTGTGGGACGTCTTTTGCCGGGACAGCGAGGAGTTCCTCTTCCGCACTGCCCTGGGCATCCTGCGCCTCTATGAAGAGGTGCTACTGCACATGGACTTCATCCACATCGCCCAGTTCCTCACCCGTCTGCCAGAGGACATCGCCCCCGACAGGCTCTTTGGCTGTATTGCGGCCGTGCAGATGCTCAGCGGCAACAGGAAGTGGACACAGGTAGGACTCTCAGTCTCCGGATTATGTGCCACATCAGTTGTATTACAGAATCAATCTTTGTGGTTTGGTGGTAGGAACGATCCAGTGATGGACCTTGAAAGCTGTAAATCTTCATAATCAGTATATATAAATCAAAACGGGATGAAAACTAAGCAGTTGTACACAATATTTAGAGATGTGGTTAAAGGATATTGCAGAAAGGTAATATAAAATGACAATATAATAAAGGACAAAACTACTGAAAATTTAAAAAGGGATTAAACAAATTGGAATACAATAAAATTATGACCAAAAGATGGCTAAAAATATAATTAAATCCACTAAGAAAATCGAAAGTTAAAAATGCAGGGCTGTTAAAAGAAATAGATTAAAATGTATCTAAACAGCTAGAGTAAAGATTTTTATCTTTTTGAAACGGAAATGATTCGGTTTCACTAATTGCTACCGGTAACGTATTCCACAGTTTTGGTGCATAATGACTAGATGCTGCCTCTCGAATATATTTCTTTGTAACTCTGGGCACGCGCGTCGTAGAAAGTTATCAAGATATAGGAGCATTTCAATTTGTCATGGTCTGCAAAAGTTTTATATGTCTGTTGAATGAGAGAGCTTGAACGATTCCACCAATCATATTTTTGAATGTAAGAGGAATTTAAAGTTTTGCGCGGCAGCAGTCGTTGTCTTTGTGTCGCGTATCGGAGATCGGCCTTATCATGACCTGACGATATGCTGCGGGGATTTGCCCGTTTTGATCATGGTGCTAGTTTGTTCACATTCCCAGAATTCCTCAGAAATGCCACACGATTATCTCCCAGTAAAATAAGCGTGTGGTGACGCATGCCTGGGCTCAGCTGTCAGGAAGGAAAGTCAGATCTGTACTTCCTGGATCTTCACCATTTTTACTTCCGTGTAACACTGGGTAACTACATCTATGCGGTGTGGTTTTTATAATGATTGCGATAGTGATGATGAATAGGGCCGATTTAATTTACCCATATGCGCAGTTTTATTGAGACATTTTTTTTATCCATTAATACTGGGTATGTAATACACTTTAATGTACACAATTTCATTAATATATTCACTATACACTATGTTTTTGTAATAGCTACAGTAATAATAATGGTAATAATAATTTGCGGTACTATTGTGCTAGGAGCTGTTTTTCTAATGCTGCTGGACAACAAAATTGTCCTTTCCTGGGGGACGAATAATCTGAATTGTTTATTGCAGAATCTGTGCTTTATGTGGGAAACAGCACCATCTACATGACTTATGTGTAGCTACATTTTTATTTTAATTGATTGTTCTGGTTATATATAGGTGTCTAAATTCTGATCGAATAAAAAGCTGTATTTGTATTTACGGCCTTGTTTATGTTTGTATGTTCTCCTCTTAGGTGTTTTCGGCATTAATGAAGGACGGCAAGGATGTGGACAAGAACAACAGCCCAGCGCTAAAAAGTTAATGATTGCTCTTTGTTCCTGTGCGGTGAAAACGCGGGGAGCGACGGATCCACCAGCTGATCTGAAGCGCAGCTTGAAGTCGAAAGCTCCTGATAGCCAGTATTGCCGTATTAAATGTTTGGCGCAAAGGTATTGAAAGCCGGGAAGTGTTAGGTCACAGCAGTTATAACCCTTCGTATCGGAACAATTCCACTTTCCCAAAGTACGACACATTATCATAGACTGAAGACATTTTAACTCCTATCCGTTTGTGAATAAAGTAACTGATCTAGAAATTCCACTAACATTATTTATGTTCCATTGACACTTTGATGGACCAAACTAATAATGCGACTAAAATCTGATTTGAAAGTGCATAAATCACCACACATCAGAAAAACCTACGTTTCCCATGTCCAAGGCTATATTAACACTAAGTATATTGCGTATATTTACTTCCACTTCACTTGAAATCAATGCAAACGAATCGTGTAATGATCTTGCAATAAACACTATTCCTTTTAAGTTAACAAAAACTGTTTTGTTGTTATGAGCTACACGCAAATCTATCTGAAATCGTCTCTCTGAGTTTTTTTTTCTTAATTTCAAAAGAAATGTGTTTTAGCTAAAATACTAAAAGTTGTGGAATTGTTCAACGGAAGCCGCCGGTTATGAAGTGCAATAGAGCTCGGATCGGCGCCGAGATGAGGAGTCTCTCGCCGCCCGGGTCTCATTCCCCTGCGGGTCACGCTTGATAGCTTTACGGTGATTCTTCGCGGAATGGGGACGGGGCAACACGCCTGTCGGGCATCACCAGAGCACCAGAGCGGATTCTCATTTTAACATCTGAAGTGCGGTTAAAAGAAACGGTAGCCTACAAGCTTACTTTTTAAAGATCCCATTTCAGCAGTTGAATGCAATCTAGAGCCTTTTTTCTACAGGCATGTATTTCTGTTCATTTGTACAATGAATGCATCTGTTTATTTTGTAGTATTTCTTCATATTATTTTTTTTGTCTGCGTGTCTACTCTTTATAACAATATCTATAGCTGTACATCTCATCTTTGTATTTTAATTTGAAGCGGAGTCATTTAGTCGATTTTTCTACTATTGCTACTCTTGTACAGTTTTCATACCAAATACAGGTACTGTATATTAAAATCAATTGTAAATATATGGAATATCTCCTTGGTACAAAACCACTAGTAACAACTTCATGTGTAAATAAACGTAAGAAGCAGAAACTCGAGGTGCGGTATTTATTGATGCTGTAAAAACACAAACACCAAGTCTTCGGACCTTTGCTTGTTCCACATATTTCCCCATCTAAAATCACCTTTTAAGATTTGTCAAAGAAATAAATTACTACCGACTACGAAGTTCAGCGCAAGAACAAGAAATTTGGTGTTATGTATCAGACTAATTTGCAAACCAATAATTGTCAGTACTCACAGATCATTTCCTCCACTCCTTACGTCCCATGGAAGGCAACATTATATACGTTCATTCCGTTTAAATTAGTCTGTGTGAATTATAAATTCAACACGATTCGTGATTTTTTTAATTATGTGTACAGAGGTGAGTGGCATCTAATTACCGGTTAACTCAATTGGTCAGTGCGTACGACGATAACATCAGGAACGCCGGTTTGACCCCCGTACGGGCCACACCTGACCTGGTGGTCTTATCCTACTAAAAATGTCATCAGTGCGCATGACTTGTTCTTTAATCGCAAATTAAACGCAGATTGCACTGATGAAAACCCACAATTTTATATTTGCGAAATACTAACTGTGTATATGTTTTATTTTTGTGCATCGATATTAGTCATTTACAGCCCATTGTTGCTTTTTGAATTTTATATTTACTCACATATGTGCACTGTTTCACTGGTATGCATGATCAGAGTCCTCCATGCCACTGGGGGCAGTAACTTCAAAATGCGGCTCGACTCTGTCATGCCTCCATTCATGCATTTTACACAACACCGACTGCTTCCAGTTCAGTGGGGGTAACACGTGGGTCGTTATTGGTTGTATTTAGAATATACTGCAGTCATATTAGAGTTGTTTATGATCATAAACAGCTGCAATAATATAAAATATCCAACAACCTTCGTTGACGTCAATACATACCTAATTCAAGATGGGACCGGTAAGTTCTGACAAGATGTTCTATGTGAAGTGAAAACTAAGTTGATATCGTGGTTTTTGCAGTGGGGGATGAATTCTCTAGTTCATCGGTGAATAAAGAGCGTTTTTGTTCACAGCCGAGAAGTAAAAAAAGGAAGCCGACCTTTCGGAAGTTGCTTAAAACAAGCAACGTGAAGCTTGAAAACAAACTGAAGAATCGCCATTTCAAGCAGCAGAGCAGCAGCAAGAAGTACCGTAAAGAGCAGAAGAGACTCCGCCAGGCGCTGAAGGATGAGTCGCTTAGGACTCCTGCTCCTTTGGAGCGGTACAAGAAAAGGGCAGGTGGGCGGCTTACCGTGTTATCGTACCAGCATTACAAAAATACTGAACTAGCACTGAACGTCGCAGTATCTGTAAAATTGCATCAGGATAAAATCCAGCATTTATAATTAAGTTGTACTGGTGGGAGTATTCTTTAGCTTACTACTGATATTATTGTTGTTGACAAGTGTGGCAATGACATCTGATTATACGAAATTCTTTATGCACATTTCCTCTTATATAATTAATTATGTAAAGAGGAAGAGCCTGAGGAGGAGTTTGAGGAATCACTCCCGGTGGACATGATGGAGGAAAATGACTTGGAAGAGATGAGAGCCATGGGCCAAAAGGCTTCATTCCTGACCAGAGACATATCCTCCTGGTATGAGAGCCCCGCCTCTTAGCCTGCTGTGAAATGTCTTATTGGCTTATCATGAATTATTGTCTTGGTTCATGGTCTTCACGCCTCTAGGGTTGGACGTTGGAGTGGACATTGCATGTTGTCTCTGTGTTCATGCAGGCTTCCTCCCATATTCCAAAAACATGTCATGTGAATTGCTGTCTATAATTGCCTATAGTCTGTGTCCCCTGGTCTCATGCCCTGTTCTACCTCGGTTAGGTTTCAGGATCACACTGACGTTACAGTTTCGGGTAAACGTGTGGATAATGCATGTGTCTTTAGCGAAAACAGCGAGGCCTTTATGAGCAGGGCGTCTGCAGCCTGTAGCGTGGCCCCTATAAACGGCCAAGGAGCGAGAGGGCTGACCGGGGTCCATCTCCGCCCCATGAATATGCAGCGAGCCGGGGCACGCTAGGAAACGAAAGTCGGGCAACGCCGTGGAGACGTACGAGAAGAAGCCGAGGAGGATGCCGGCGGAGGAGAAGAAGGAGGTCATTCATCTGCTGCCAATCAAAGACAAGACTGGCATTATCCGGCAGACCATGGAGAAGCCAGGTGCGATGATAACTCCGGCGCTCTCCGCAGGCACCAACACGCCATGCCACATAATAGCGGCCTGATTAGTGTTTCTGAAGCTGCTTGCCCTGGGGATACTAAGAGGCTCTGTGAGTTATTACTGGTTCAAATCCCGTTACTAGCGGAGTGATGCCATCCTACTGCCGCACCACAAAGCCCCAATTGTCTCCAGGGATGCTGTCTGGCTCTTGCTCTCGATCCTCACTTGTGCATCGCTTTTTGACAAAGGCATCTCCTAATTATGTAATATAAATATGTGAACCTTTGTCATGTGTCATGCATGTATCATTACTTCTTGCAGTGGTGGAGGAGGCAGAGGAGGAGGAAGAGGAAGAGGCTGAACTGCAGGAAGAGGAGAACGAATCTGGATATGGTACTGAACTAGACTGGCTGGTTTCTGCTCTGCTTTCCTGCCTCTAATGCTGAGTCTCCACCTGGCTTGATGTGTGATGATGTAATGTTTCCTCAGCAGAGGCCATAGACATGTCTGCACTGGACCCCGAGGAGCAGCTGCAGCTGCGCAGACAGAGGCTCCAAGACAGGAAGACGCGCATCGCTGGCCTGGGTTCCGCCATCCTTTCAGACCCCACCACCAACGTGAGTCCCCGTGGTGATGCGCATTATGGGATGGAGGGGGAGTCTTTAACCAGCATGTGGCGACCTGTGAGGCTAGGGGGTACCGTTTTCTGAGGAGGCTTTGTGGACATGCTTCTTAGATCAAGAAGCTGAAAGAGCTACGGTCCATGCTGATGGAGGCCGACCCCTGCGTGGCCGTCACCGTCAGGAAGGTGGTCATGATCTCACTGATGGAGATCCTCAAGGACATCGTCCCATCTTACCGCATCCGGCCTCTGACCGAGGAAGAGAAGGCGACCAAGGTACCCCCTCAAGCCCCCCCCCCCAAACTCGCTTTCCCGTTACCGAGTAACCGCATCCGTGGCTTCGGTCACACCTGCGGCGTGCGTGTGCCCCCCCCCAGGTGAAGAAGGAGACGCAGCAGCTGCGGGAGTTCGAGGAGGGCCTGGTGAGCCAGTATAAGTTCTACCTGGAGGACCTGGAGCAGACCGTGAAAGGTACAGGCTGGACCTCCAAGCTTCTGTGATGGCCGATGAGGCTCAATTTGTGCTTTAAGAACTCCGCCCTGTCTCAGGCAGCACAGGGCACTAGGCTGGGGAAACACGACTACACGCTTGGGGGAACTTTGAAGACCTTGTGTTTTTGGACTGTGGGTGGGCATCTTTGTGACACGGGAGGAAGAAGTCTACCTAGGTTTGCTGTGTCTAATCAGTCATTTAGCAGACCCATCGTTTTGTATGCAAGGCTCCATGTGTGTGGAGTTTGCTTATTCTTCCCGTGTCGTCGTGGGGTTTCCTCTGGATACTCTGGTACCCCCCCCCCCCCCAGTCCGAAAACAGGCTAATTGGAGTAACTAAATTGTCCCTAGGAGTGAATGGTGTGTGAGTGTGTCCCCTGTGATGGATTGGCGCCCCATCCTGGGTTGTTCCCCGCCTTGTGCCTTTAGCGTCCAGAATAGGTTCCGGACCCCCTGCAGCCCAGAATAGGACAAGTGGGTACACAAGATGGATGGATGGATGGATGGATGGATGGATGAATGAATGTCATGTACTTTACTGGAATCCTTAAGTGATTTTCTCAGAAGTACTATAGGTGTTTCTCTTGATGGACTTGAACCAGCAGCATTAGGGTTACAAGGAAAGGTACTAAACCAGCACCCTACCTGTTGGTGCACTGAGATCACTGTCGTACATAGAGGTGGCCACATACCTCAAATAACATCCTGGCAAAATGAAATCGAACACACCGGCGAAGTTCTCATTCTATGTCTCGCCACAAGCCTAGAGGGTGCAGAATGTTTTCCATGCAGCAGACCCACATACAGAGTACATATAAACATGTTGAGGCATTTTAATAAAGGAGATGACAGATCTGTTATCTATTATCTATGGAAGTTGCTGTCCACAGTGATAACCACTCATGCGTCATATTGCTAATAGGACGTTGACTCCGTTAATTCCGTTTGAAGTATGCGGCAGCCTTAAAGGTGGTCATATTCAGTGTCTGTCTAGGTACAACAGGGGGCGCCCTTGTGCATCTCTGTTCCCCAACAGATTGGAAGCAGAAGAAGAAGAAGAAGAGCGAGACAGTGAGCCTGCAGGCCTACAAGGGCCTGGCCCTGGTAGCCATCCGGTGTCTCTGCGAACTGATGGTGGCCCTGCCCCACTTCAACTTCCACAACAACATCCTGGTGATGGTGGCTCCCCTCCTGAACGACGCCAGCCCCGAGGTGAGCCCAGCGCGGAGTTGGCCGCTGGCTCGGAACCGGGTTCTGTCTGCTTGCCAGTTAGACCATGTTAGACCTGGTGGTTCTTCATTCTGAGAGGAGGCTCGGTGGTGGGGGGGGCAGTAGCCTCACATTTCTAGGACTGTGGATCTGACTGCTGCCTTGCTCTGGGTGGAGGATGCATGTTCTCCCAGGTTCTTCCCTGGGTTTCCTCCCACACATGCAGTCTGGTGAATCATCTCTCCTAGGTGGTCCTTTGCCTTGTTTATGTGCTTCCTGTGATGCACTGCAAGTCCCATGTAACTCTATACTGGAAGAAAATAATTACAGAAGATGGAAGGTATTTTATAAGTTTGCTTACAAACAAGAGTAACAACCAGTGTGCTGTATGCAGCTTCTCTGGATCTTGTGGAGCAAACAGGAGTCTAAAAAGATCTGCTGAGGAACATTAGTGTTAGTCCAATAGCTGGGACTTCACTGAGGGCCCGAAACGCTGCTTCACTGTCATGTCCTGGAGATGTGGCGGTCTGGTGCTTCACTCAGGTCCTCATGCGACACTCCCCTCCTGCAGGTGTCCACCATGTGCTGTGAACATGTGAAGAAGCTCCTGAAGCAGGATAAGATGGGCCATGCTTCGCTGGGAATGGTGAAGGTGATCTCAGGACTGGTCAAGAGCAGGAACTACGACGTGAACCCAGAGGTGAGGCTGGTCCTTCTGCTGTCTCGGTATAACATGCCTGAGGAATGAGTCTTAGGTCACTACACCTTGTATTGTACTTTTGTTAAGGTACTTATGGTACTTATGGTACTTATGGTACTTATGGTACTTTCTCTTTTTTATTGTCAAAAGTTACAGTACTTAAAGTACTAAAACAGCTGGGGTATTTTTTTTGGCACTTCAGTAATTTGGGGCGGGACTTGCAAGTTTTTTTCCAGGTGAAAATGTTTTCGTAAAACTTAAACCCCCTGCCCTATAATGTCCGTACAGTATGAAGGTATGAAAAAGTCTGATCTCAATCTAGCTTACTAGCGATGTTAAAATTACATATGTATTGCATTGTTGATATTAATATCGCACATCATCCAGCCCTTTAATAGACTACAGCCATTTTTCGAATTCAGTACAAAATGCCGCGTATCAGTTTTTACTTTAGTGGAGAACCAACACCTCGAAGAACAGCATGTTAGGTACTTTCTTGATGTACCAAAATTTCGGTACCAAGGGCCCTCGTTTAATCCATTGCAGTGAGCTGGTTTTAGGTGTTTGTACAGATTCGCGATGCGGGTGCTGCACTGACAGCAGGTGACTCGATGGACGTCCCATGTTATTTAAATGACATGTCATCGTCCCCCTGCCACACAAACAGGTGCTGAAGTGTTTGCTCAGCCTCAGGATAAAGGAGGTGGAGTTAAAGAAAGACACAGAACATGTCGCTCCCAAGAAGAAGTTCATGACCTACAAAGAGAAGAAGAAAAATTTGTCGAGGATGCAGCGGAAGGTGAGTTGGGGTGGGCTGGTCTACGCCGGCGTGGTCGACTGTCCCCCCCTGGCGCTGGCCTGTGGCGAGTGACCGGATCTCTCTGACCTTCGACCTCCTGCCTCCTGCAGTGGAAGAAGGCCGAGGAGAAGCTGGAGAAGGAGCTGCTGGAAGCAGAGGCGTCAGAAAGCAAGGACAAAAAGATCAAGCTGGTGAGCCCCTTCACTGTTGGCAAACAAGCGGCTTGCAGGTGGCATGGTGGCTTAGATCGACTGTTTGGGTTTCTCAGTGTAGTGACTGAATGGCATGTGTTGTCTGACACTGGCATTCTGTCCCCTCAGCACACAGAGACCCTGAACATCGTGTTCCTGATCTACTTCCGAATACTGAAGAAGGCCCAGAAGTCTGTGCTGCTGCCCGTTGTGTTGGAAGGATTAGCCAAGTAAGGGCAGACCGTCCATTTCCCTGCCCTGTCATGCGGCGGTGTGCACTGTGGATACCACTGTACGGATGGGCGCACTGCACTGTGGATACCACTGTACGGATGGGCGCACTGCACTGTGGATACCACTGTTTGGATGGGCGAACTGTAATCCTCATGAACTCTTTGTCTTTTGAAGGTTTGCTCACCTCATAAATCTGGAGTTCTTCGATGATTTGTTGACAGTGCTGCATAATCTCATCGAGTCCAAGGTGAGGGGGTGCGGTTTTCCTCTCGTACTGTTCAGGGTGTTTAAGCTGGACCTTTCAGCCCCTTTGACCAAATGTGGTTCCCAGTTGGGTTGTATGACTCTCCAATTTCTCTGTGAAGGACCTGACCTACCGTGAGTGTCTCCACTGCATCCAGACATCCTTCACCATCCTGTCTGGTCAAGGTCAGTGTCTCAGACGTAGCTTGACGTCCTCCTGGTGTGTATATGCATGTTAACCTGGTTTCTCATGAACAGGTGACGTCCTCAACATCGACCCTTTGAAGTTCTACACACACCTGTACAAAATCTTGCTCCACCTCCATGCAGGTAAGTCCCCCCCCACCATTGCAGTTCTGCAGAGGAATTTAGGCTTCTTGTTTTACTACAGGTTTGTGGCAGGGGGTCCATTCTCACCCTATTTATGACTTCTTCACGACTGACTAATCGAGGTGGTCTTATTGCTATGGCAACTGTGGCGCTGTGTTCCACAGGGGCGACGAACGACGACGTTCGCATAGTGCTGCACTGCCTAGAATCCATGCTGGCCAAGCGCAGGAAGCAGGTCACCCTCCAGAGGGCGCTGGCCTTCCTGAAGAGGATGAGCACGCTCAGCCTGCACGTGCTGCCAAACTCCACCGTGGGCCTCTTGGCGTCCGGCAGGACTCTGATGCATGTGAGTTGTGGACGTGGCCAGCAGATGGCGATGCAGAGTAATAGTAACTGATATGTAAACTTAGTTTCAGATTAGTAAATATTACTGTTCTAGTATAGTATATATTAGTAACATTTTCTTCAAGATTAATAAAGTCTATCAGGGATGGGTGGATCAATCCAAATATTGATTCTGTCAATACCAACGTTGGTAACGGATTGATACTAGCATGATGGGATCGATAGTTTCAGTTTCTCTTCTCTACGTTCAGTATGTTGCTCCTGTTTAATCAAAAGTAGATATTTCCGTGCAAACTCCACTCCTTTCACAACCTCCCTGTACACTTTGCTGGTCCCCTTCCTGCGTGATTCGCCAGCGCTGAGCAGACACGTGAAGGCTGCGGTGAGAGACAGCATGATGGCAATGACGCAAGGAGAAGCGTCAGGTCGAGATATTTTACGGCTGTAAATGAAAATGTCGCACAGTGTGATGTGTGTAGGCGGGCTGTTGGCTGCTGTGGAAACACCACCGATTTATACAAACGCGAGAAGCACCTAGACCCCCCGCACAGAGACTGAGGACACTGGCTGAGTCCTTTCAGAGAGGCGAATACCCAGGTAGCTTATATAGTGGTGAAAGTAATATTTTAGTCATGTCTAGGGGTGAAAGTAGTTTTAAATTCTTGCCAGTACTACTGCCAGAACCTTCATCGCTTGCATCCTTGACAAAAACATTTCAATATTTTAATCCCTGTAGGCAGGGCTGTAACCGGGGTTTGAAAAGTAGTGAGGTCTGGGGGTGGGGGGGGGACCTCAACAGTCACA